CTCCACCTAATAGCGATGGCCTCCACCTAGTAGCGATGGCCTCCACCGAGTAGCGATGGCCTCCACCTAGTAGCGATGGCCTCCACCTCGTAGCGATGGCCTCCAACCTACTAGCGAATTCCTCTCATTGTGCAAGGATGCTTTGGTCCACAAGCTCCCAAGGTGGGTCGTAGCGTCATCCGAGACTCGCTGAGTGCCTGCAGCGCCACAGTGGAGCTCCTGACCGAGTCGTCCTCACTTCGCGGAGAGGCCTCGAGTGGTGAGGTCAAGGAACTGCGTGGGGCAGCCAGCTTTCGGTTGAAGAGCCGGGAGGATCTCAGGCAGTTTTCGAGGGACATAAAGAACAGCTGGGTGTGTCTCATGAGACATGGTAAGTTCCATAAGTTTCCCAAACAATCTAGGAACCAAATCATTTGTGCGTGAGCTATCCTGCGTCCTAGGTAAGTATCTACTTGCAGGTAAGTAGCTACCTCTCCCTAAGGACTCCCTAGCTAACCTCTACTAGCGGCCTACCCCCGCGGCCAAAAAATTACTACAACCTAGGGAAACAAGATACCAAGAAAACGTAGTACATTAGAAAAAGACGATCTTTTTTAGGAAAAGACGATGTTTTCCAAAATGTGTGTTTTGGATCTGACAGCACGCACCTGAATTTCGGACACAAGTCACCAAATGTCGACCTCACCAAGAACACTTTTCACCCGGATCGAGAGTGAGCCTTCAACATGCAGCTACGAGCCTAAGAACTCACAGATGGCATCTGGTTGTCAGGGATGCAAAAAAGCCATATTTTTAGTACGGTTTAGTATGGGTTAGTACGGGTTCCGTACGGGTTAAATATGGGTTCTCAAAACACAATGTTTTTTGGGGCAGATCGAAAATACGGGTTCCGTATGGGTTAGTACGGGTTAAGTACGGGCTCCGTACGGGATAAATACGGTGTCTTATGTTTTCAGTGAAGGCGCCCTCCAAATTCACAAAAAGGCTATTTAATTTAAGATGACCAACACAGATGGAAGAATCGGAAGAATGCTCGACATTTGATGACTTGCGGATCCATTAAGGTCCCACGGCACTCACCTGAAAGCAAGATCCGGGAGACAGGTGTTTGTTTATGGTAGCCGGAGCTATTCTTCAGTGGTTTTACCAAAAAGACGATCTTTTTCGAGAAAAGACGCTGTTTTCCATCTCTTCCCTAGAAAAAGCGATGTTTCATCCAGGAGCCTACAAATTGTTAGTGTTTTGCTTCTCTAGGAACATATTAGAATATAATAGAATATTTATAGTATATAGTATTAAAAGGAGAGAGGAGCGAGCTAAAAGAGAAAACCACAAATGTTTACAGGCCCAGACTTCGGCCTCCAAGGAAAAGACATGAAACCTGCCCTGCCGCCCTGCCGTCCTGCTTTGCAGGGCTTGAGCACCCAGTTTAGTTTGCTTGTTAGCAAGGTATCTGAAGAATCGTTGTAGTTTGAGACACACCCATCGGTGTTTTCGCTTTTTGGAGATCTATTTTCACATAATAGTTTGTATTGTTTGGACATGATTGGAATGATTGAGCTTCTATTTACTTTGTCAAGAGCTCCTGAGTCTGTCTCATCCTAAGAAGAACCCACATGCATCTGAGGAGGGTGGTGGGTGTGCAGCAGCGGCGACGAAGGAGGGTGGTGGTGATAGTGCATCCAACATGGAGTTGCACTTTCGGCCCTGCGATGAAAAAGATGCCGGACAAACCTTTCATGCGAAGCCCAGATTTGGAGGCTTTGAGATCAAGGTGGGGGAGACTGGCTATTGCTTGGACTCAGGTGGGGCGTGGGTGCAAAACAAAGATTGAATTGGAGAACAGGCGGTGTTAGTCAGGCTGGTCCAGAATTGGCATGAATCCGCCGCCATGTTCGTGCAGCATTTTTGCTTCGTGCTTCGTGTTTGCATTCAGGTGGTGGGAGTCAGGCGCTGGTGTATCCCTGCTATGATGAGAAGGTCCACAACATGAATCAGGTCTGGAAGATCCGTGATGGCCGTCTACTCTGGGAATCTGGAGGACGCGTGATCTGTGTGGATTCCGAAAAGATCCAAGAGAAGGTGAAGGCACCACAAGGTGGGTTGAGGGTGTCTTTAGGGTGGACATCCGTTCGCCAGAAGGGTTTGCACATGCCCAGCTGTCCGATGTGAATCCTCGGAGGGTCCCAACATGTCCCGTTCGTCTCCAAACGGTTGGGCGGTGGTGCAAGATGATGGGATGCACGTTTCCCTTTGTCAATGAGGTGAATCCTATTTTTCCGATCTATATCCATGTCTATAGCCGATCCATTGAATCTATTGGTATGGAACAACCAATCCTTTTTCATGTCTCTTTTCTGCTGTTCTCTACTCGAGGTGAATATCGCCTGGTGACCTGTGCACCCAAGCCTGGACAGCGCTTGAAGCGTGAAGAGATCGATTCTCAAGGGACCTTCCTGCTGAAAGATCAAGATGACGGTCGCTGTCTGTCGGCGCTCTCAGGTAATGTGTTGGGCTTATCGGAGTGCACTGCGAAGCAACGTTGGCGGGTCTTGGCTGCGAATGGCTTCCACCAGGTCCAGCACTGTGAATCGAAACTCTGCATTGATGCAGGGTCAGAGCAAAAGCCGATCCTTGAACTTCAGATGATCAGCTTTTTTGTTCTTGTCTTTGTACATGAACTTGTGAAGAAACCTCTCAAACTTGGGCCTCATGAGAATGCAGATTCATGCAAACAAGAAGGAAACGAGCTGTCGAGCAACGTCTTAACTACAAGCAGCCAAACTCTCTAGTTTCAGATTTCCATTTTCAACCAGCCATGGAGTGATTCATTCTGCCGGACGACGATGTGTTTGTTCATTAATTTTTGCATCTAAGGATCCTTTATCCCTGCCACACAGGGCGTGTGAATCAACCACAGAAGTTCACGGTGGTGGATGAGCCTGGCTGGATACAAAACCCTCTCACTTGGGGTGATAACGGTCACTCAGATCATCTCCAGATCCAAAGTGTCATTTCTTTTAGTAGTTTGAGCTAGACACAATATGACAGAATCTACAGCTTTCCCAATTCCCTGAAGATCGAGAGTAGTGCTTGCACGTATTCTCCCCCCACAAATTTGCAGATGCTGGTACTTGTACGCTAGGATTGCTGGTCAGCCATTGATTTAATAGCCTGAATCCGAAACGACCTTGTTTACTAAGGCACTAAGGATTTGAGACTACAACTCCAGGTCTTTCCCATGTTTAGTCCTGAAGGCTTGGAAATACCACTACTCATATATTTTAGTTTTGACACTCCCAATATTTGGTTCCTCCGCACCTTCCCCCTTCACCCAATGGCTTCGCGGTTCCTCCGCGCCTGCGCGTCGCCTTCGCGTCGCCTTCGCAGGTCGCCGACGGAGCTTCGAGAGTTGTTTGGATCGCTTACCCACGCAGCACCAGAGCGTCGCCGTGCAGGAGTGCAGTGAGGTCCGTCAGGCAGGGGTTCAGTGGGAGCGGCTGACGCTTTGTCCAAGGCTGAACTGTTTGGCTGCGAGAGTGTGTTTTGCTTGTTCTTGTTTTTTGATTTGGTGCCCTCTCAGAGCTCTTGAATGGGACTACGACTTGCGAGTGATCCACCATACAGGATCTATAGCGAGACCGGAGCTACCAATGGACCACTCTTCGCTACTTTGTTGGGCTTCTATTGGACCTCCCTTGGGAAGATCCTCATAGTATGTAGGAACAAACCGGTGGGTGCATTCCTGTACCACCGGCGACCGCTTTGCAACCACGCTCCTTCTGAGCCGAGGAATGTCTTCGTGCCACTGGAACGGAGGCTTTGGGAGAAGGCGGCGAAGCCGCCTCCAGGGACTCCCATCCTGGGAGGAGACATGGCACCGCCTTGATCCGAAAAAAGAACAGAGCTCTCGTTCAAACCTAGCGATGGCCTCCAAGTATACTAACTAGCGATGGGCCTCGAACCGACGGCCTCCAGCCCTACTGAGCTCTCGTTCTCGAGAGAGGTTGAGTTCAGGGTGGATTTTGGCAGCTGTGGAGTCGGAAGCTATGAATCCGACAGGATGGTCTTCACTCAAGGCTAGGTACCTTCTTCTCCGGCAGACATTCCCTTTGGCTTTTGAAACTTGTCAGACCACCAGAGAGACTATGTTCCTGGATACTCCCAAGAGCTCCACTCCCTTTGGTGTGACTTGCTATAGGCTTGGGGTGCCCTTGGTGCCAAGTTAGGTTGACAGAGACTAAGAGGCAGTCTGGACTCTGGGGGTGATCTGCCCTCATTCCCTACTACTACCATGGCTGGAACATAGAAATTATCTATATATTATATACACACACATTTTTCTCTTGGACACGATTATTTGGATGGTGAAAACCAAGCTTCACCTTGTTTCCGCACCAAGAGCAAGTGGCCCTCACTTGTTGAAGATCAATACAACCTCCTCATGGACATCTGCCTGCGTTAATTGGCTTCCATTTGCTTCCTCTTTTTGCACACCTTCTGCAACCCTTGCACATGAACCTGCGAAGAAAATGGAAGAAATGCAATGCGACGTCCACCAGGTGCGACGTCCTGCGCCATCCGCGCACCGGGCGCCGAAGCTCCGCACGGTGAGGTCCTTCGCTTCGGACCCCGTGGAGACGACGGAGCGAGCTTCTACAGCTCGCCCGGGAGGCCGAAAAGAGGGAGCCCCTATGTTGGCAGTCGACCGGTGCTTGAAGCAATTGTAAAGGGATTTTCTACAAGCAGTTTGATGGGCCGTTCTTACCGAGCAGGAGGAGGGTCAAGGGCATTTCCTTTTGACCGCTTTTGGGGAGGCTGGTGTTTCATTCATCGCCTCGTGCCGAGCACGTCTCGCGTGAGCAGTCTACGAGAACTTGAGAGGGTGAAGGACAGTCTGGTCCTTGTTCAGGCGTTCACCCGGATTGCATGAAGCCGAAAAACCACAAGGGTTGAGCCACATAAAAACATCTCAATTACCTGGAAGAGGAAGATGAGGAAGAACGATTTGATTCCAACCCAAATGACCCTGCCTTCAGCAAGCCATGGGTTCTCAATGGTTCTCAGCATTTCGAGCGGAGCCTTCGCCGGGTTGCGTTCTGTCAGGCTGGGACCCAGCGGCACCTGCATCTGGGATGAGGTACACGACGCAGCGACGCTCGGACGCTCGGGACGACCCGAAGAGGACGACCAAGACGATCCAAGGCGGTCAAGACGAGGTTCTTTCGGCAGGCTTCGCGAAAGTGAGACGAGAATCATTTGGAAACAGCGGGGGAGGGACTGCAGCAAAGGTCTGAAGCATCTCTGTATGAGAAAATATGAAGGTCATCCACTGTGGCAGACTTTGGGTCTCTTGTAAGCTGGCAAATTGGGCCTTTGGAAATCAAAGGACACAGGGATATGTTCTCCATACAACGTTTCTCTATGATCAGCTGGCATTTGGCAGGAATTCAGCGTTTGGTTAGACTTCGCAGCCAGCCTCTCAGCGTCCGCAGCGCAAGTGGACTTGGTCCTGAAACGCACAATCTTCGATCTCACGGAAAATCCTAATCCCTAGGCATCCAACCACCATTTTGCGCTACAAAAGGCGGCAGGACAACCATTGTTGAAATTGTCTTGGAAGGCTAGGGTGCTAGGGCAGAACGGAGAAGCCTGGCCTTTTTGGAGCATGGCAGCATGCCCTAACTTCAGCAACTGAGCAACTGTCTCGGATGTCTATGTTGCCATCCCCAAGCTCAACAAGGATGGGGGATGTTGTTGATGTTAGGATGAAGTCGGATGAGTTCGGTCATCGAACTGCCAATGGTGGGTCTGCCAACTGAGAAGCTGTTTAAAGATGTTTAAAGGCAAAGTGACGAAGTCGGCCCCAAAGGTCCTTGGATCATGTTGGATCGACCGGGAAGGCTTTTGTTAGAAAGGAGATGGATCCTTGTCGACATAGATCTAGTAGGCAACACAATGATTGTGCTTGAACTTGTTCAAAAGGATGCTTGTGTTTTTCCGAATTCTTGTCCGCAAACATGTGCGTCCCGATAGGAAACCTGATGTAAATGTGCATCCCAATCTGTTGCGTCTCTCTTTGATAATTATGCGCCGCTTTCTCAGGCTGAGTGCTTCCAGGAGGCTGTGCTCCGCTTTGAGGCGCAGCGGGCCCAGCCAGGCTGAGAATGCCCAATCAGATCACTCGCCCCCCTTACCGTCTCCAGGTCTAGGACTTGGTGCGCAACTGGGTTTTTACATGTAAAAGTGGTGCCACCCAATGAACCAGCTATAGAGATCCAGAGATCCAGAGAGAAGCCTGGGAACAGAGAAAACACAACAGATGAATCCAATGAGTCTGAGACAGCATCGAAATGCGAAGGACAGCTCATTGCATCACTGTTTATACATGGAACATGTCACACATCTCACGTACAAACATACCTGGATAATCTTTGATATATGACCAGATTGGTTTGCACCGGGGTAAGTGGCTTCGCTCACAACTGCTTGAAATATGAGGCATGTTGTTGCTGCACCCAGTTTGCGTATAGGTTTGTGGCTTTAGACAAGTCTTTGGTTTTGCACTGTTGAAAAGAAAGCGATTTCAGGATGCTTAAGCACGTCCCAGACAGGCTCAAGTGATGGGATGAACATGGGACGGACATTGTCAAAAGGTGAAGTTGCGATTGGCCTCGGAGAGATAGTTGAGTCATGTTTTTGCCAGTTGCGCTGCACGCAACATTGTGGGGCGAGCAGGTATGCCTGCATTGTATTTTGGATGAACTACTAATTTAGTGAGGCTCTTGACGCCTTGCTGCATGTCTCCTTGGATGCGGATTGACTGCAAGATTGCCATAAACTCTCAGCCGTACCTTTATCCATGCAGTGTCTCTATTGGTAGAGGGTCTAGTGTACAAAGCTGGAATGCGATTGCAAGCTCAGTCCATGTGAATGAGAGATGGTGATTCCATGTACTGCGGCTGCACCGCTCCGAATTCCATAGAGCTACGCAGCCGACTGGAGGGGGTGCAAACTCAACTCACCAAGCTGTTTGTTTCTTGTTGCATTGCGAAGCTTATTGAAACCCGTTGATCTTATATTCTCAAAGGGCATTTCCCTTGGTCGCGGAGGCTTTGGTCTTTCACAACGCACCGACCGGTGGGCAATGTTGTTGGAGTTTTCATCCCCAGCGCCGGAGAAGTACGTGTGAAGCAGGTTCCCACTTTTGCCATGTCATTTGCCTCCAAGTTGGCGCAGCAAATAACATATACAGCACCAGCAGTTCCATGTCAGGCCGGGGTGCTCAATGTGCCCTTCTCACATCCACTCAAGTCACCCGACATGAAACTGCATGCCAAAGATCAGGTCGGAACAGGTGGAACTTCATGCGAATGCTCCCAGCCCACGGAGCACGCAGGTTTTGTGCCAACGTGGTGGCTGGCGCGAAACGAAAGAGTGCCTGGCGGCAGGCCTTTCGGCGGTTTTTGGGAATCCGAAGGATCCACGCCCATCGCCAAGTCGGACCATTTGGGGTCCACCTCCAAGCGGTTTCACTGCACATCCGGTTGTGGTTTGGGACGGCAGTCCATTTGCAGACACTTTGAGGTTACTTACTGTAAACCAATTGTTTGTGATGGTCTTATCCCGTGTTCTTTGGGGTATGGTTATTGGAGACCTCACGTCAAAGGATGGTATAGCCTGTAGCCTTGAGCATCTCAAAACAGTTACAGTAGACAGGTGAAACACCAACACCCCAGCGTTCCATTCCGATTTAACATGTCCAAGGTCTCCTTGCTTGGACCTTTGGTGGACTGTGGGCAGATGGATTTAACGTGTCCAGAAGGATTCATTTTGGACAGGAGGGCCACCAGCTGAACACACACACAGATACACAATTTTTCCGAGCTCAGGTGCATGATTTGTTGTCCTGATATTGCTGCGGGTCCATTCAGTTCATGTTCGGCTGAGTTGAAAGACGGAAAGAGCCATATTTTGCAAACGATCTGTATCTCTGATTTGCGCTGCCAGGATCTCTGCGCCTTTCCTGGATCCACGCACTACCTGGCGCCTCGGCCTGCAGTGCAGGGTGGGGTCGGACGAACCTTAGCAGGCCCAGATTCAGTTGAAAAGGGAGTAAACTCAGTTGCGCTGAGATGGTTTTATGGGGCGTCCTTCCTCCTATCTCAGATTCTGAGCGGAAGGTTCCAGGTGGGTGACATTTCTTTTGGGTGAGAGCCTCTGGATCGTCATGTGTCAAGATAGCTGCCAACCGCCAAAGCCCCTAACACAGAAAAGGACTAACAATTGTTGAGACAACCCCCAACCAAGGTTCATTATAAGCAAAATCACTCAGAATTTGGTTGCTCATGGTCTTAACTTCACGGCTGGAATCATTTGGGACAGCAATATTCCAACTCTCATTTTGAGACATTCTTAAGAGAACATTCAGGAAGAAGAAGTGCCTGGCCCAGCGCCCTGCAGGCCATGCGCATCCGCGGCTACGGATCCCCTTGAAGCGAGCTCCCTTGGCACCGCTGGAGGCAGGCGTGCAAGAAGCATATATAAGTGGGATTTCTGATCGAGAGTTCTACACTCCCTGAAATAGTAATGGAAGTGGACAACTACCCGATTGCAGAGGTATGGCGCCATGCCGTTCACTTCCATGATTATTTCAGGGAGTGTAAAGGAAAGGCAGCAGATTGATTCTTCTTCCTGAGATGGACACCATCCTCGGACAACGTCCATGCTACCATACTAGAAAGAATCATACTGGTCTTTCTCCAGCATCGATCTTGAAGGTTTCAACACAATCGATCTAGAGGGCAAAGATCTCTCTACTACGGCATATTAGGATCCGTGAACCCATCAGGTTTTAAGATACAACTCCACCAGGTTTTGACGTGGTCGGAGC